CAAAGAACAGGGGTCGACTTGGGAGGTAAGGCCATACGTGGACGATGAATGGCCCCTCCCAGAGGAAATAAAAGAGGAGGGAAAGGGAAATGGAGTTTGCAGGAGACCATTAGTTCGTTTCATTGGTTCGTGACTCTCCGAGACTCCTGGCCAAGTTTTGCAGATATCGACCTGGCAGCTCTCCAAGCCAGATAAGGTCTGTGACTGTAAATCCTCCCTTGAAAGACTTTGCCGGATGCGAATGAGAGGAATTCACAGTAACTTAATAAAAAGGGGTTTTGTCGGGACAAGGAGTCTGCTTCGTGATTTGGGGAAACCTAGATCCGAACAGCTTTGGCCTGATCTCCCCAGTGCAAAGAGGAAATATACCAGCAGCTTGGGGAGTGGCGTCAAGCTGCCCCCCACCACCCACCCTGTCGGCCACAGCCTCGATGCGGCCCTCAATGAAATTGAGTTTGACCCCCCTGTTCTATAGGATTGCATGATTGGTTTGTCCCTTGAAAAAAAGGACATCTGATGTTTTGAAGAGGGACGCAAAAGCTGGATTATAGTAGGGTTTCCTACTATAGGAACTAAGATGCATTGGACCTTGGCAACTAAGATGCATTGGACTTCAACTCCCAGAATTCCCCAGCCAGCCATGCTGGCTGGGGAATTCTGGGAGTTGAAGTCCCCCCACCCCATCTTAAAAGTTGCAAACCCAGGTTTCAGGAAATGAAATGAACATACTTGCCCACTGTGACGTGAAAATTCCCTGCTACTTTATTCACATAGAGGTGCCCGTGAATTCTGCAGGCATCAGCCGAATGCTTGGGATTGTCCTCCCTGCGCGGATTTAAAAACAAAAAACACGCGTTCCTTAAAAAGTAGCACTTTGCATTTCACGAAGCCTTGCAAAATACAAATTCCCAGAAAACGTAGGTTAAGTATTGCTTCTCCGATGACCGCGGAAGTAGATACAAGCTCTCAAACGGAGAAGAAAAAAATGGGGAGTGACTTACAGGTGTGTCTTAGAAAGCCGGGTATAGAATAACAGGATGGGAAGGGACCTTGGAGGTCTTCTAGTCCAACCCCCTACTCTAGCAAAGAGAACCTATACCAGGGGTCGGCAACTTTAAACACTCAAAAGAGCCATTTGCGTTCATTTACCACAGAAAACACCCGGAGCCACAAAATCCTTTTGACATCTAAAATGAAGATAAAATTGTGCCGTTTGCCAATTTCTCGACGCGTATTAAGCATAGTGGTAAACCAATCTCGTCAGCAGGGGGAGCAAATATTGGCAGTTGTGACGCATATTTTGAGCAACAGGGAGCCGCAGCAGAGGGATTGAAAAGGAGCCACATGCAGCTCCCTGACCTATACCATTCCAGACAAGGAGGTGTGCAATCTCTTCTTAAAAGCCTCCCGTGTTGGAATACCCACAGTGTCTAGAGGCAAGTCGTTCCACGGGTTAATTGTTCTCACTTTCAGGAAATTTCTCCTTGGTTCCAGGTTGGATTGTTTTGATCTTCCATCTGTTAATTCTTATCCTTGCTTCGACCCCCCCTCTTCTTTCTGGCAGCCCCTCGAATATTGGAAAGCTGCTGTCATGTCACTGTCAGGTTTCCAAAAAAAAATGCCCTAATGGATTCATGAGCCTCGAGCCAAATTTCAAAAGAAAATTTAGTCATTTTTTAGGAGCATTTATTTTGGAAAAGACCTTTTTCGCAGTCAGATCTGAGCCTTATTTGAATTATATCTGGATTTAATCCCCATTTAATCCTTCTTTTTGATTGACATCGCTCCTCTGCCAGCTTCCCCATTAACTCTCCTTGCAGGAAAAATTGGCAGAGAAGGTTGCCAACCACACGACCACAATCCCTGCAGGGTCATAATTGTGAGCTGGTCACCTGAGTGCCTGGATTATGATCGCAGGACCAGAAGGGTGTTGCAATTGCTATAACTCGGCTGCACATCCATTTTTTCCCAGCATCGCAGTAACTTTGAGCAGTTGCTGACCGAATGGACATAAGGCTGAGGACTACCTGTCTATGTCTCGTATATGCATCTTCCTTCAGGGGTCCCCCACCCCTTCTTTTATCATTTTGGGTATTAAAAACTGCCCGACCGAGAAATGGTTTAACGTATTGATTCTAAAAATACGGTCAACATCATGGCTTTTATCTCTGAATTGGCCTGTTTTGGATTACATCAGTTCTTTTTCATGTCCCCCCCCCCCCCCAAAGCGAGGAGACCCTGAAGCTACGGTCTCACCTTGGTGGAAGTGCCGTTGAAGCACTTTTAAAAGCACTTTTGAATATTATGTCTTGAAGAGAATGTTCTTCCTGCAGCCGGGCCTGAATATTTTGTAATATCCTAGAAATAAAGCAAAAGACATTCAGCTATTCTCTCTCTTTCTCTATTATCAATCTCTCTCTATCTATAATCTATCTATCTATCTATCTATCTATCTATCTATCTATCTATCTATCTATCTATCTATCTATCTATCTATTATCAATCT